TAGAAAAGATGAAAAAGCAAATAAACAATATTCAAACTACATATAATGAAATAAGAAAACTCTAAATTAAAATAATAAAATAATTCATTACAATCAAAAATAAATGAATATAAAATATAAATAACACAGAAATATAAAACAAAGATGAAATCACCAACATTCTCTTAGTTAATTATGAGATATTGAATAATTAAGAGAAGAAGAGTGATGATGTGTTGAAGAAGGATATAAGAGATAAATAAAAGCAAATCATTGAATATCAAAAAAGTGAGATTGAAAACTATGAGATTGAAGAAAAAACAAAAGAAGAATTAAACAATACACAAAGAGAAAATAAAGAAAAAAATCAATTAATATCAAATCATCATCATTTTATTGTTTATTTTTTATTTCAGAAATAAAGAAGAGGAAAATAATGACATTAATGATAAATACACAACAAATACTGTGAACAACAACATCATCATCTGGGACAATATAGATGAACAAAACTACCATTATGAAAAAGACAGTACTAGAAATAAAAGAACAAAACATTGAATACCAAAACAAGAAATGATAATCAATCAATAATAAAATAAAACACAATAAATCAAACAAATATAATTTTAATTGATGTGTTGTATTGTTTTGAATTAATTTGTTAAATAAGAAATTAAATAAGAAATTAAGATGGGAACAAATAGAAAGCATAATAAAAATACTAAATATTAATGTAAATAATGATAAAGAATACATTAATAATATTAAAATATCAAATAAAATAAAAGAAACAACTAAAAGATATATTAAAATGAAAATGAACTCCATCATAGAAAATAGAGTATAGTTCAATAATAAAAAACATCAATATGAAAAATAACACTATTGATATTGATAATGAATATTTTAATATTATCATTAATCAAGTTAAAGAAGTGAAAATAAATTAAATCATAATTTAGAATGAAAGATACAGAAATTATGATAATATCATCATCACATGGATGATTTAATTTTAATTATGATGAAAATAAATAACAGGAAATCGCCATGAATTGATATTATATATTTATATTAAATGAAGAGAATATCAACATCAAGAAAATATATTCTTAATATATTTAATAAATAGTTAAATTTCAATGAAATCATCAAATTAAATATAGTAAATTGAAGAATTATATTAATCAACAAACGAAGTGATATGAATGATGTTATTAATTATCATCATATCAATTGTATAAATATAATTATGAAAATATTTATATTATTATTAAAAGAGAAGATTCACAATAGAATTAATATGATTAATGAATCATTTAAAATTAATAAAAATTAATTATTATGTAAATTATAATCTCTTGATAATAAATAATAAATAATTATTATATATTAAATCATCAGAAATAAGATAAATATACAAATATATAGAATCATATTATGATATTAAGAAATCATATGAATCATGAATAAGTAATATAAATATTAAAATAATTTAATATAGAATGAATCAACATAAATAATGTATAAAATATGATGAATATGATGAATATAATCATATGATATAAATATAATGAATATAAATAATATATTAAAATGATTAATTTTACATTATGATTCATTATCAACTCTATCATCATCAAAATAAATATAATTTATCAATTCATTGAATATAAGTTCAATAATATAAATCGGTCATTATATAATGATGAAATGAGAATAATGATACAAAATAATGAATAAATGAGAATAATCAACAAATAAATTAAATAAATGATAAATTGAATAAAGAAATGAATGAAAATAAAACAAGAAATAAAGAATATTAACCAAATATCATCTCGAATAGAAAATATCACAACAATTGAAATAGATAAATTGTATAAATATTTATATATATATGATAATAGATGAAATTAATGATATATTCAATTATAAAATCATCAAATAAAAGATAATGAAGAAAATAGATGAAATAAAATGTGAAAAAGTATTAATATAAGATATAATACAAGAATTAATAATGAAATAATCAATATCTTCAAATATTTAACTTCAATAATAAAATGGAATATAATTTATATAAAATGGAAATTGAAATAATAAAATAAATAATAAATACAAAATATATTGGTGTTGGTAATTCCAAATACAATCTATATATCAATATAAATGAAATAATGAATAATAAACATGAATGATGATTATGTTAATGAAATAATTAGAATAGTAATGTAGTATTGTATAAGAATGAAATAATAAATAATATATTAGATAGATGATATTCAAAGAATTGAATAATGAATATAAATAATAAAATCGAAGAATAGAAATAGAATAAATAATAAAAGAAATGATTGAAAATAAAAATAAATAATAATAATAATAATAAATAAAATAATGATAAACAAATATATCTATAAATTGAAATCAAATAAATGGATATTTTAGAATATTGATTGAATCAAAATTTATAGATAAAACTACTATAATCAATACATTGAATTCAATTAATACTAAGAAGATTACATTTTTTTTTATTTAAATAAAATACAAGATGGAGCAATATTCAATATGCACAAAAAAAGATAAAATATTAAAAAATGATTAAAATACTATCCACTTTGTAAATACAAGATATCAACAATATAATATACTCTACTATCTTGTATTTGTTAT